CTCGAGCCTCTCTCGCTCCCGCCTAAACAATACTACGTTAATCTTATTTGGCATTTTTTTGAATACAAGTTTTTTGTTTGGTTTAGATACTTTTCTACCTCAGAATTTTAAAAAGTTTTTAAGAGACCAAGAATAGAGGAAGATACTTGTTGCAGTCAGTTCCGTCCTGCTGTATTTTATGTTTGCCCATTAACATATTTGCAATATTATACAGTTTTGCACATTGTTACATTATTATATGGTTTTGTTCATTTGAGCTATGTTTCTTTGAATACTTGAAAATCAATAACCATCAATAATGTTAAGGGAATTTTGTATGTAAACAGTAAAATTTGTTGGAAAATAAGTATTTGTTTACTAATATTGTTTATTTCAATGTATTCATTCTATTTATCAGAATAAGGTTATTTTGATTATTATTTTGATTATTTCATTATTACATGGAACAGCATTGTGAAACCATAATATTGATAATTATCGATATCAGTCAATACAGGAAAAAATATCGTGATCATTTTTTTTGCCATATCGCCCAGCTCTAAATTGAATTGAATTGAATTGAACTGAATTGAATTCAACTGAACTGAATTGAACTGAACTGAACTGAACTAAACTAAACTAAACTAAACTAAATTAAACTAAACTAAACTGAACTGAACTGAACTGAACTGAACGGAACTGAATTGAATTGAATTGAATTGAACTAAAAAGTAGGTGCCTGCATACTGAGATACATAAGACGGTCAGGCTGTGTGGTTAAAAGCATCCCTGCTCATACATCTGGAAACTAATTAATGGTGATACATAATCCAGATCGGAATGAAGTAAATGGGAAAAAAAATGTCCAAGACGTACCTCCATGCCATCTACGTCGATCCTGGCTCTCACCCCGTATTTCTGTCCAATCAGCCGCAGTTTAGGGACGCAGTACAGTAACCTGTCATTGAACTTCAGCAAAAGACAGAAGTTACCGAAAGGCCTTTGCTGGGAAGCAATGGGCAATTTTCCGGCTACCTGCTGTCACGGTAACTCAGAATGAACCCTTTGATGTTACACAGGTGCAGAGGGTTCGCAGTAATGAAAACACCTGCAATGGGCTTGATTAAATGTGCAAGTGTTTAAGTTAATTTCTCAGTCATAAACAGAGCTGAGTGTTGGCCCAGTAACAGACAGTGTAATTTCCACTCTTTCAGTAACAACCACATAGCAACACTCCTTTGAGTTGTTGAACAGGCTGATATAATTGCTGTTGAGATCACCAGCAACCCTAATGGTAAAACTACAATTAACAACAGATAAAGGTACATCCATTTATCCATCCATCTTCCAACTCCTTATCTTGCACAGGCAGTCAAATATTTACAATGAATGTTTAAAAATGGAAGTGATGTTTACTCACTAGTATGAGGTATCTATCTTGCGATGTCCCATTCTTGGCTGACAATTTGAGGATGTGGCCCTCTTTAATCAGCTCATTGGTAGGGTTAACAATGTCCTCCTCTCCGCCCAGCAACTCATAGACCTTCAACAGCTTGTGCATTCTCTCCTGTTACACACACAGAGGGCAACACACTCTTCAAGCTAAAAACCCTGGGTCGGGAAAAGTGAGAAATGATCCGTTTTGCATTTGGCCTTTTCCAGCTCTGCACAAGGCTGCAATCTACATTTCCTCCTGTGCCTTAGAGGCTGGCTGGCTTCTTAGCGCACAGTGGGTCATGCAGGACACTGCCAGAGGGCTTTCACAGCTGGCAGCCAAGGCCTGACTGAAGCACAATGTGAGCTAAAGCATAGAAGTCATGCTCCAAAAAAGCAATTTCACCAGCTGTGCTACTAGGAAGCCCTGACATCTGCACACAGGAATGTAGGCAAATGAAAGTTTCACATGGCCTTAGATACACACAGATGGAGGTAAAATGCTCCTATAAAAACACAGGTAAGTATCACCTGTAACCAACTAGAAAAGGAAAGCCAGGCTAAAACTGTGATACAGCTGTCCCTCGTGAACCCCTCACAAAGAGCACTGGTTTCAGGGCCTGCTGCCCTGCTGTGGGGACACAGGCGAGCTGCTGTGGTTTGCTGGTGGTCGTGTCCACTCACCATCTTCCTGATTGCCGCGTTGGAGTGTTCGGCGGCGGTCGCTATCAGCTCCAGAGACTCTGCAGGGCAGGAGATGCACAATGTAACAGCGGAGGAGTTTCCCCAAGCTGATCCAAGCAAGTCCATTTATGAGTGGTGGCACTCATAGACACCCTGCGGCCCAGGCAAACCCCCCATTATGTACAGTAAGGCCATACAAGGCCTTGGGAGGGGGGGGGGGCACGATGTGCTCTGGCAGCGAGGCGCGGCACATATGGGCCAGGGCAGGACAGGACAGGGTAGGTGGGGACACTCACTCTGCGCGTCCTTGAAGTCGTCGGAGTCCTGCGGCAGCCGGTGCAGGTAGTCCTTGAGCAGCAGCTCGTAGCGCGGGATGCGCTGCACCGGCTCCAGCATGTGGTGCTGCAGGGTCAGGTTCCTGCACACCGCCTCTTTCTGCGGGACAGATAGAGGCGGAGCATGAGGCAAAGGGGGGCGGCCGCAGCCCCAAGGCAGCGGCAAGCATACCACACGAGCACGTCATATACCAGTAAAGGGCGACACACCACGGAACTATACACCTCAGTCTCTGATGGGGTGCCCCCTGTGGTATAAAAAAGGAATTTTATGTTCTAGGAAACCCTAAGATGGCATGAGGGCAAACAATTAACAGCCAAGGTCAGTAATAGGGCTGCAGGGCACTCTGAGGGGAGGCTCTGTTGGTACACTCCTGTATCTGGGGGGAGGCTCTTTTGGTACACTCCTGTATCTGGGGGGAGGCTCTTTTGGTACACTCCTGTATCTGAGGGGAGGCTCTGATGGTATACTCCCATATCTAGGAGGAGGCTCTGTTGGTACACTCCTGTATCTGAGGGGAGGCTCTTTTGGTACACCCCTGTATCTGCGGGGAGGCTCTGTTGGTGCAGTCCTCCATCTAAGGGGGAGGCTCTGCTGCTATGCTCCTCCATCTGGGGGGAGGTTCTGCTGTTATGCTCCTCTATCTGGGGGGAGGCTCTGTTGGTACTGTACACTCCTCCATCTGGGGGGAGGCTCTGCTGGTACTGTACACTCCTCCATCTGGGGGGAGGCTCTGTTGGTATGCTCCTATATCTGGGGGGAGGCTCTGTTGGTACGCTCCTCCATCTGGGGGGAGGCTCTGTTGGTATGCTCCTATATCTGAGTGGAGGCTCTGTTGGTACGCTCCTCCATCTGGGGGGAGGCTCTGTTGGTATGCTCCTATATCTGAGTGGAGGCTCTGTTGGTATGCTCCTCCATCTGGGGGGAGGCTCTGCTGGTGCACTCCTCTGTCTAATAAACTCCAAAATCATGACAGGGTGGTGCATCAGTATTCCTTATGTACACAGAACAAGCATGTGATGCTACGGAGCAGTTCAGGCCCAAGGCCTATCAGTACTCTGCTAGTGTACTGTGGCGCCCCCAGCTGACCATCCACATCACTACACTGGATTTTGATCAAGCAGTCTCCCTCTTAGCCTCACTGCAGGTGGCTGTTAGAAGCCTTATGCTTAAAATGTGCTTTGTGCTGCCTTCAGTCTTGAGAGGGAAAACGGGAAAACGCCAAGCTTTTCTCTGATTCCACAATATTAAAGGCGAAAAACAAAAGTGAGTTCACACGCTACTGAATGCAACATATGGGACACTCTGCATGCATGAAGGGTATTAATCAAAAATAATTGAATTTTTAAAGGCTTCACAAGTGGAATTATGCATTTACGTTTCTCTATACCAAGACAAGTAATTTAATGTGAAGTACGTCAAAAGTAACACAATTCACAATTTCATATTAAAACTGAATATGAAAACAATTTATTGACAGGTCCCCTATTGCCTACAAGCTACACAAATGCCGACAAACAACATATCAGCCTTTCCACACAGACTGTGTCCTGCATGCTGTTGTTAAGTACAGTTACTGCTTGCTGCGGGTCTGTACGTCATCAACACCTTTCACCCTGGATTTCCACTTTCATCACTCAGCTCACTGACAACTTAGGAGTGCATCTAATTTTAGGGCAGAGCTACGGACAGGATGCAATACGGATTCCGGAAACTGCAAGTATCACTGCACAGGGCTCAATGTGCAGTGAAAGCATTTCATCACAGAATACAATATAGGAATATGTGCATAAGATAATGGTATTGATCAAGAAGCACTTTTTACACTTGGTTTCAGGGACTCCTGAGGTTTCCTGATGAAAATGCAGATAGTATTTAAACAGTACAGATTTGCTGTGTGGTGCTCACTGTAATGCTGTCCCACCAGGACCAGGCAGATATAAGGCACAGCGGTTAAGACACACACTGTGGTGACTAACTGCTGTTGTGTGGCACAGTCAGAGGAAAGCGACACATACTGAATGAAGGCTGTGCTGAATAGTGCCAAAAATTGCACTTACCGGTATTTCAAAGAAACTATGAAATTACAGTTGCCGCTCCAGATTTTCTCATCTGATACTTGTGGTTTCAGTTATTCACAAGCTGGTCATCAACAAGTAAATCGGAAAAATTTTGGAGCTTACTAAAAGATTGGAGAAACTCACAAACGACGTGCAAGCCGAAAACAAAACTGAAAATGGATTGCATAAAATCATATAATTTATAAACATTAGTGTTACATAGTTTTTTTTTGTGTAAGTGCATACTATATCTTTAATGTTAAAAGTCTGGGGTTCTGTATGCCATACATCATTGTCTCAGCATCTAGCCTCACTCACGTGTTAACTGTCTCTGTGACCATAGAATCTCACATTTACTCGCAGTAACTTTGAAACTTTTCAATGTTACTTATTCAACACTAATTTTGCATTTTTAATAATGGTGTGTGTATTATATAAAAAGGTCTTCATATGAAATGACATTTCAAATGTAATTTGACATGCAAAGTGTACAATACAATACTGTTTATTTGGCAATAAATAGTCTTTTTTACCGTTTAGGCTGGCAGAGTAGCAGATAAGTTGTGGTTAGGGTCCAAGTATTGTGTGTGAATGTGAAGGTGATTGTAATGTGTTTTATATAAAATGTCAAGATTCTATGAAATCATTTCAAAATGCACATACACCTGTTTTACTTTGGTTAAAAAAGCTTCACAAAAATAATGTTGAAAATATAAAAGGAAGGGAAAGTAGTGGAAAATGTAACTAATACCACAGCTGGAAAGGGTCTGACAGGGTGGGAATCTTGGCCTAATGAGTCGTGGAGGTAAATCACAGTGGTCTCGAGTCTGAGTAGAATGTGGATGTGTAAAGTGAGGCTCAAGTTGCCATGACAACAGCTCCCACCTGAATATCATGGATGATGGCTTTGAACTGGGAAGACCGCTCCATCCAGGTGTTGACCAGCTCCATGGCTCGGTCAAAGTTCTTCACATATTCCCCATACATTTTCAAGAAGGGAGCCAATTTCTGCAAGATGTCCCCAATTCGAGGATTCAGCTCCCTGGAAATACATAAAATTCATATCAGCATCCCGCAGACATATACAAAATATCCCAGTGGGGTTTCCTTAACAGAAAAAATAAGCAATGAGCAATGGAAAAAATTGAAGTCCCAGTCAGATGTCTCACCATTCTTCCATTCGCTTTTCTAGTGCGGGGAGCAGGAACTGCTGGTGGAAACAGTAGATGGAGCAGATATTGGAGAAGATGCCCATTACCACCTCGCAGGGGAATGAGCTGCGCAGGCGTGCCTCCTCCATCAGCTGGGAGCAGAACACCTGATCGAGGAGGTGCAGCCTGGACACGTAGGCCTTCTCCGTCAGTAGCAGCTCGTTGGCAATGTTGAAGACCCTCTGCTGGACGGATAGCTAGACGCACAAGACACACGAGGCAACCTGACGAGCCTGTACAAGCTTATCATCACAGCACTGGAAAACTGACCTGTAGCCATTTTCGAAAGACTAAAGGTTCACATGTTAAAGGTTAAATATGACACTACATTTCATTTCTACAATTAAGAATGATGAGTTCAGCCTCAAGGTACATATAAAATCTCTAGATAAACCAGAAAAGGGGCATCAAGTTGGGACATAACAGATAATCTAGATTGAGGATAAACATTATATTAAACATGATTATGCCAAACACTCCTGCCAGGCTGCAGTTCAAACTGTAACTGTGTTGTGAGTTGAGAACTGGTTTTAATCCATCATTCTAAAATGATTAGTCCCATTTAATTACAATTTCAGAAGAGCAGAGAATCTCCACATGACCCAGACATTGCTTTTAACTGGGACATTTTTTTGTGCAAAATCACTATCCAATAGTGCTAACCTCTTACAGCTGTTTACCTCTATTCACCTATTTTATTTCTCTTGCATGATTCTTCCAAACATTTTCTACTCCACATTTAACCAGAAATATGTCATGTTTTATTGTATTGATAACTCATTGATTGATGTACAGTGATACTCTTTATGGTCCTACACTCATCCTTTTATAGCTTTACAAATCTTGCACGCCGGCGTCTTGATTTCCCTCACTGGGCTGTAACTGAGCTCCCCCTGCTGGTTAACCTCAGGTATCCCTTCACGGCCACAGTGCATGTTGTGACACATGTTTCATTTTCCAGTCAACAGCTCTTCTGTTTTCTGTCTGTTTTCAAACCACACAAGTAGCTACAGCATAACCGCTTAGGCCATAGAGGCATATCAATTTCAATAATCATTTATTTTTAAAGGAAAAACAATAAATTTGCCATGGTTTTTGTGCATTTGGTAGTCTGTTTTGGAAATGCATACATTTTACTGAGAGTGACAATTACACTGAAAAAACAACAGGGATCCAGCCACAAATGTTGCTTAGACTCCTAATAATTATTTATTGTTTTATCATTTACCGCTAGTGTCACGCCGCTGCATAACTGCAGAGCAGCACAGCCACTCCATCACCCCCTGGGTGCCCTTAGGATGCCAGTAGGCAGGCCAGTCCTCCCAGTGCCTAACGGCAGGCCGCTCACCTCTGAGGAGTCCTGTCTTTCAGTCTTGGGCAGGACCAAAGGCTGCAACGCGGTGGGGGTCAACTCGCTCTCATCGCCGCTGACCTCCTCCATGTCACTGTCCCCCTCGGAGTCCCTGGCCCCCTCAGCGGAGGCGGAACCCGCACTCTCCGCTGCCTCCACGCAGCCACAGAAGTGGGCAGAGGAGAGGCGGAGCAGGGGCTGGGCGGGGCTGCAGGGACACGCCTCCCTGCCATGGAGGGCCCGCTCCTCATCGGCGGCGAAGCAGAGCTCCTCGCTGTGAGATGGCGAGCTGATGCTGTCGATGCCGCTGTCCCGGTTGGCCAGTTTGCCGTCCGCCTGTGAGGGGGGCAGGGAGAGCCGCGGCTCTGGGGGCACGTCCGCCTGGCCGGCCAGCAACTCCCGCATCTCCAGCGCGTCCATCAGCTTGTCGGAGACGCTGCAGCCGGACTCCAGAGAGAGCCGTCGCTCCAAACAAGACGCACCCAGGTCCTCCTCTTCCTGCCGATCTTCTCCCTCTTTCTGTTCATTATTGTCCTCCTCCTCCATCCTTTCTGCCACCTCCAACACCTTGCCCGGTATCTCCTGAGGTTCCGGGCCGCATGCGGGGGGTTCCTGCTGCAGGGGGTTGGCCTCTCCTGCTCCAGACAGCGGCTCCGGCAGTTTGGGCGTGCAGACGGCGCCCCCAGTGATGTCTGGCACCACGATGATCTGCTCTCTGATTAAAAAAAAAAAAGCACAGCACAGGAATTATGTACATACCCCAAAGCCAATTCTACAATAAGGGGAACTAGAATACTCAGGGGGAATTTAGCTTTTTTAAGGATTCAAAGCAAAGGCTTGGTCAGTGTCTGGCCACAGGTTTCCTTTCATGGATATAAACAGGGGTGCAGAAACGAGGGCTGAATGCGCATGGAATCCCCTCCCAGAATGCCCTGCTCCGGCTGGGAACAGCATTCTCCTGGGAAGACAGTGATACAGTTCCACCTGCACTGTTTACCTTTCAAATTTCTCAATGAGCGAGAGCACACAGGAGGGGGACAGGGTGCCCTCGCCACGGGCCAGGGTGCAGCGTGGAGAGCGGGGGTCCGCAGGTAAAGGGCGAGAGGGAGGCGGTGGGAGGGGCTTATCTGGAGCCCTTGGTCGACGAGCACTTTGTAAATGAGGAGGCTTCGGGGGCACTGGGAAGAGGAATGAAAGCCTGCAATTACTGCCCATGTGGATCAGCATCACTAAGACAGACGTGCACTGAGGAACACGCTGGGGGAGCGGCCTACCTTGGGGTTTGGGGCCAGGCAGGGGGGGGCGTGTTTTGGGAGTAGCTGCTGCGGGTTCCGCGGGGGTCTTCTCATCGGTGCCATTGCAATGGCGGGGTCCCAGTGGTCCAGGGTCCGAGCAGAGGCGCTGAGGGGCCTCCTCGCTCCCAACACAGGGACCTGGCTCCAGGGAGAGGCTCTTCGTCAAGAGCCTCGGACTGGAGGAGGAAGAGCCTGGAAGGAGAGGTGGGGCTGAGCTATTCGCTTGGTCCGTCTCTGCAGAGTCACTTCAGATGCTTGACAAAGCAGGTCAAAAATAAACCTGACACAATAAACGTCAATGTGCATCAGCATGACCGCAAGACTTTTAACCAAATAAACTATAGGTTCTCAAGAAGTCTTACTTCGAATTTATGATGAATGTGCAAAACTGACAGGTTTTTCCATAGATACCCACATCAAAAACTGTGAGTATGAAGTCCACTTCCGCACATAACTTGACATAACTATACCTGACAGAAGGCTACGAAGATGCCAGACTCACCCAAATTTACTGCGAGACCCTTTATTTGAAAGCTGCACCCAGAGCCCCCGTGGTACTGAGCACACAGTGAATGGACTACGAACAAGAGTGAATCATTTTCAGAAATTGTGAAGCACCTTGATGGCCTGTGAGCAGCAATATCTCAGACTCCAGGTGGAAAGATTCACGTGGGATCGTGCTGCCGTGAGCTTGGCCAGGGGTAAAAGGCTCAGACAGGGGCTGCAAAGCGGAGGTGCAGCAGACACTGTAAGCGTGTAAAACTTCAAGCTGCAAGGTGCTGCATAGGTGCCCTAGAGGACAGGGCCAGCATGCTACTGGGTTACAATTGAATGTGGTTAGTAGGACAGTGACAGTGTGCTCAGTAGGTCAGCAAACTGGAGGCGTGGTCTATATGTCAACAGATTCAAAACCCAGAACCAGAACTGCTACGGTACCCCCACCCCCCGACACCACCCCAAACCCCCCCCCCGACACCACCCCAAAACTCTTACCTCCCTGTGGAAGATTGGGAGTAAGGAAGGATAAAAACACTTCCGTTAAAAATGACTTTTACAAAAACGAGCATGGAAAGCCAGAACATGTTTTAAAGTGGCATCTACGGGTCATGCAGTAGGCTGGCCTACTGTCGGGGTGATGTTGCCATCTTTAGAAGACCCAAGCCGATCCCCCACATGGTCTTAATTGGTTCCATATGATGACACTCTACGGGCTGGGGAGTTAAATGAGTTCCACATGTTTTTCTGAACTTGCTTTAGTGAGACAGGCTAGCAGCAGCCAACTCAGGCTATTTCAGGCTCAGATTTGCTTCTCAGTCATTCGTGCTTATTTATTTAAATTTTCACAGAGGTCAGTAGAGCATGCAATCATCAGAAAGACAAAAGAGAGACTTTCTCCTATTTGTAATGTGCTTTGAGGAAAGAAAGCACAACACACATCTGCAGAGTGGCAAACTTCAATGTCACTGTCCTTTGACATTTAAGGAAAATATTGGACCAGCTCACAGTCACATAATAAGCATTGCCCTCAGGCAGACATTGCAATCTACAGGTTAAAAAAAGTCCCTTCCCCTTTCTGGTAAATGGTTTCTGCAGAAACTAATATAAATAACTAATAATTAATATCAGTGTCAACCTATTTAAAACTGTGGTTTATTTAAACAGAGTCTCAGACTATCACTCGCAAAATAACCCCAGGTTCATCATCCCTGATTTCTCTAGCAACAGTGACCCATCAAAATACTGCACCATAACTGACACATGGCATTTAGTTAGTCAAATATTTAAAACAATGTATACAGTTTAATGGGAACACTGTCATGGATAGCACTAGGGAACCCCCTTCGTCGTCTCAGCCACGCCCCTCCGGGGATTCCGGTCAATAGGGCTTCCCCGAGGTGTTTGCGTCCTGTCAACCAGTTGTTCTGGCCGTACCGGTTGCTCCCGTTTCAGACACTCTTCTCCCAGCTGTGTCTTGTTTTCCCCGGTTTCGGTGTTACTATATCAGGCAACTCGCCTCTCTGATCAGTGCGAGATCTTCATGGTTTGCCCTGAGTTCGAGCGTTTTTTCCGGTGTGTGTTTCCCTGTGTTCTGACCTCTGCTACGTTTTCTAGAATCCGAGTTTCTGCCTGCCCCCTTTCTGGACCGACGCCGATCGCCCGACCACTGCCTGGACCCTTGACTGTGTTTTTCGTCTTTGCCCCTTTCTGGACCGACGCCGATCGCCCGACCCCTGCCTGGATTCCCGACCGTGTTTTTCGCCTCTTCCCCGTCTGTACCGAAGCCGATCATCCTGCCTCCCCGCCTGAGTTTCAGCCACGCTCTCGGGCTTGGTCCTGGGTACTTCTGACCTTCATACAAGAAGAAGTTAATAAACAATCAGGACTTACAGCTTGCCGCGTCAGTGTCCGTCTTCTTGCATCCACAACAGACACTAATTAGTTGTATAAGCTACTGTATTGTTTTATTTCAGTTGTGGCTGTTACTATACGGAAATATTTCAATTTAAGTAAAAATGCTGAACTGAAAAGCAGGGAAGTAACACTAGGGCTCTGAATTTTCCTGAGTGAGTCATTCTTTGAAGACCAAAGAACAGGCAGGTAGTCACAATGTGAAATGTGAAACTACGCAGCCCCTAAATTTTTACATTTTAATTATCCCGGTTATTGTTCATGCCAGTAAAACCAAATATCCACTGATATCGTGTTGGTTTATCGAGATCTTTTCAAAGTTCTAAAACCAAAGCTAAACGTAGTGAACATGTGGTCGTCTTAGCATTTTTCCCACCCTATCAGAACGACCGTTACAAACAATGAACAGCTGTGGCAAAGCGACATCCATAAGTCAGAAGAAAACCTGAAGATAAGTTCTTAAGGCTAGTAGGAAAAAAAAATGTAAGAGCAGGTGTTTGTTTCAGAAGAGTGAACAAAAATGGGAAGAGATAGGAAGATGATAACTTCCTACAATCTATTAAAATACTCTGTTACATGCATAAGGACAGGAAATAGCTCCCTGCCAAAAATAATACATTTAATAGACTACTGTCTATAAATAAGAGGAAAATATTTACATTACATTACATTTTATTTATTTTGCAGATGATTCATGGACGAGCCAGTGTGGATCAGAAGGCCGGGTCAGACAGTCCCTTGAGCAACTCGGGTTAAAAGCCTTGCTCAAGGGCCCAGCAGTGACATCACTCTGCTGGCCATGGGATTCTCAGCAAACTCGTGTATTATTAACTAGCTGCTTGGCCAGCTTTGCTATCCACATATACATTTTTATTCAATCATACTTACATAATTAACTGGAGCAACATTTCTTTGCACGTTGCTCAAGTGTCCGGTCCTAAAATTCCAAGTTCATAACATTAACCCCTGTGATAGCTGCCGCCCTAATGTTTTGTGCATATTTGTTAATATGTCCTTGTGCAAATGATCAATATTGCACAAATATACAACCTTCAGTTCCCCGCTGGATGTGATTCTGAGCCACTTGCACATACACTGAGGGAAAAACAAGAAACGGTAATCGAGTGTGTGGCCAAAAATCAAACTAAAACGTCTCTACAGGCAGGATGAAATTAGTGAGTAAAAAGGCTTATGCCTGAAGATCCACTCCAGCTGATGATGAAATGGCTATGCTTATATTTTAAGTGACAGTGGGAGGAACCCCCAATATGAATGGTCCAATAGGAACCCTCAATATAAATGATCCAATAGGAATCCCCAATATGAATTAACGCAGAAAGAGCAAAGCAATAGAAAATTCCCTCTTTCTCTCTGGGATAGTTCACTCCATGCAAGAAGCTTATTTTTTATTTAACTTAAAGGGTTCAAACATGAAATAACATTCTATGCAAAAACTGAATATGTATTCCATTGTGATTATTCAGATCAGAGCACTGAAAATATGGAATGATGTTAAACAGCTTGAAATAACATGATTTAGAGACCAAGCTCATCAAGCTCACTCTGCCGTCTGAATGCCTGATGTCCTTCAGTAGAAAGTTTCCGATACAATTTTCATATCTAATTCAAGAGGCAAGCTGTAATCAAGGTATTTCCTTAATGATTAAAGAACATTTGTTTGAACTCAGAGACCGTCAGGCCCAACTCTCAAATCTATGGCATCTTCTTGACTTAACAGCTAACAGAGGATGACCTATTCAATTCTGGCAATGTTACATACTGACAAAGTATTAAAACAACCAACATGACATTCCAGATACTTAACACAATCTGGGATGTCTAAACTTACTGTTATTACTCTTGGATATGAATGTAATCTATAAGTAATAGCACATGCAGAGCAATTTTAAAATTGAAAACAAGTCAGTCAGAAACGGGCCATTCAGAGGCCACGTGTTTTGACTAACATACACATGATCAAAGGACTGATTTCATAAGGATGGCGATTTTATTGCACAACTGACACAAATGGCCACAGCTATCAGAAAGGTGGTGGAACACTGGCTCCCTTTAACACCTTTTACCCCTGAGAGAAGAGTCCCAGGTGCCTCGCTGTTCGACTTGCCAATCTGTCAGAGAACAGGAGCCCAAAGTAGACATCAGTCTCCACATGTGAGTAGATGTTCAGTTGAAAGTATGAGAGCCAGATGGGTTGCAGAGAAGAATGAAGAATACATTAATAGCCTTCCTGGTTTGGAAAATCACCCGGGAAGGCATGAGATTTGCTAGTCCCATGATCTGTCTTGATTCTCATCCTTCCTTGGTTCTCAACTCCCTCTTAACACTTCTAACACTCACACAGGCTAGTCAAGTTAGTAAAAGACAAAATGCAGACCTCCACTGGTGTGATTTTTAATTTTTCACAGTTTTGAACTCTTTTCTATACAATGTACTGCCCACATACTAAGATGCTTTTCTGCTGTGAACCATGTAATCACTGTTCCAGCTTCATCGATCCAGTATACCTATGGAAATATACTCAGCTTTTTGTTACAATAACTTAAAGTGTCAAAAGGGACACATTTAGCTGCTATACTTCAAAATATATACTAGGGCTGACCTTGCTGTCAAACCAAGCAATACAGATGAGCATGTCACTCATGTGTATATGTCCTTCTGTTTGAGGATAACAAAATGATATGTTTGTGTTCATGGGGACTAGTCTGACACACCCCCTAAACTGCATATCCAAGTGGGTTTATACACCTAATAACACATACCGTTTGCCCACAGACTGATTCTTCAGGAGCAATATAATAAACAAATATCCCATTAATATCAGCCTAGCTAAGCACATCAAAAATCAGACACACATCTGAGTCAACCTAATGAATCCAAGCCAAAGATGAGGTCCAACATATAGCCTGGAAATAGCCCATCACTCTCAAGGGAATCCGTACTATAGGTGCGATATCAACTGCACATTCAGGCATTAATTGTCATACTAGTAATGCATAAGATTAAGACAGTAATAGGGAGATTAAAAACAACAGGGTCAGGAACTGCAGAGGACTGCTTCGTACATGGATTTGTAAATCCAAGCTCATATAACACCGGCAAAATCTTAGAGTTCATGTTTTGAAAATGAGATTCTGTGAATGTTATTTCTATTAAAAGCTGTGGGGTTTTATTTGAGACCATAATTTTCTGTAGAGTGGAAATGCGAAAGAGCGTCAGTTCATTACCGGACAGTCTTCATCCTAACACAGTACATACATGCAAAATGTATCCATGATCCGCTACACACACAGGAGACGCATTGCACGGACATACAACATGCGACAACCAGTTTGCTAGAAATCATCGCTTCTCAGTAGCTTCAGTCTGTGCACAGGAGATACGTATGCATTGTACACTGAAAGACAAACACAATTAAGTGAAAAAAAAAACAGTTCATTGCCTTACCCCGGAGCACACTGGATTTATCCATGTACATCGCGCAGCAAAGCACGAAACCAGTCATTAAAATAACCGAACGGGAGACACAAATCCCCCAATCGCTTAAACGACAAAACGGGATTTAAAAACGATAGTATTGTATCTTTTAAAATACAACAAGTCTTTCTGCTACCATCCGTAATAAATGCGCGTTAAAGAAAAAATGCGGCATGTTTTAATAAAGCAAAGCTTTCCCTCGCCAAAACGCCGGTTTAGCGGAAAGCATCCTCGCCGGCACGCCTATTACAACGGTAGGTGTCTCTTCCGTCGTGTAAAAGACTCGGTTATCCCCCCTGCCTTTTGATCATGCCCAAAAATAAACGACAAAAATTCACGGCGTATTATTATCTCCGGACAACAGGCGCGAAGATGATTAAATGTCCCTTTTTTCAAGCGCCTTTCATTGATGGATTATCCGAAAAGGCGGACAGCATGCGATCGTGGCAGGCAGTCTTCTAACACATAGGCAGATCTCATACAATGACCCCGTCCACCGCCGCCTCCCTGCCGTCCTCATTACTCTGTTTCCGTTCGTCTCCTTCCCAGTCTCATACCTGGCAATCTCGGACCCCCCCCCCCATTTTGGTTTCCTTGACAACAAATTAAAGACAGTGTGTTTAGCTCTTCATTGACTGAGACGATACTTGAGAATACAAATACAGTACTAACGAAATCCATTATATCCTGCTGTAAACCGGCATTATTGTAACCCATACTCCCGGAAAATATAGCTTTTTTTCCAGTAACAACGTCAGGTTATAAAGCTTTCTATGCATCAGCAGCAATGGATCATACAATGGATCAAAAAACATCCCACATTTATGTTTTAAAATGTACAAGCATTTTTCATTGCGCAAATATTTAAGTAATTACACGTGCATTAACATATACAAGCTGTATAGCCTATATATACGATATATTACATACTTCATGTATAGATACATATCCGCATATACGTCAGTGTGTATTTTTAAAAAATAAGTTCACATGTATATTTCTTTATGTACATTTAAATTTGACACTTAAGTGTGTTATGCTTCACTGCAAAAATGTAATAATATCTATTAAAATAAACCATTGAAAATGACCCGGTACGTTTATGACAAACTGTTTACGAAACTCTGCCCAGCATCGTTAGATTAATACAAAATATGAGGTCCAGGCCGTTAAATGAAAACACTAATAATAATATGAACTATTTAGTTCTCTTTCCAAAAACAATTTTGTCCCTTATTCTGTTTCTCCAAGTGGACCTTTTATTGAAGAATTTTTACTGAAGATAAGTATGCATGCATAGTCTTACAGCCTGAACGAGTTTTAGTTCGATATGTTAAATTTAGTAACTTTCATAGCCCAGGTGATTAATGAAATGACTATTCATATGCTAATGAAAAGCATTAAAAAAAACATCCCACAAACTTGGACTAAAGGGAATGAGGTTCTACATGTCAGTTACAGCAGCGCCTGGCCCTGGTCCCAGGAGGCCACATGTGGGTCCTGCACACTTTCATTAGTCTCTGAAACAGCATTTTACTCAAACAACCTTAATACAGAAATTAAGAGCTGAGGTTCAGCAAAAGGCAGCTTATTTAGTCACCCACAATGCCTGATCTGTTAAGATTGCTAATACAGATAGTTTAGACACAGCTAAGGAGAGTAAGTTTAGCAAGTAAGGTACATAACTAACGGACATACAGGCCATTTCTGTAACTATGTGCGTGTGGCTTGTGGGTTTATAAATTACAGTGTAAAGATACTTTCCATACTGGTTCATTCTAAAATCAGAATGAAAATCTGCAGAAAAACAACTTAAGAACTGAAAGTTTAGTCTGTTTGAGCCATAATAAATATAATCTTCCATTTTCCATAAATGAAATTGAATCTCTGAGGATGACGGAAATGTACAACAAGATAATGACTGATATCATACTACAAATATTACTCAGGAAACTTTGGAGCCATGCTGCACCAGAATACTCAGCAGGCTCTTGACTTACAGTAGAAACCACGGTTTTTATTTAGCCTAATTTGCAAGTAAGTGGAAAATAATTTGATGGGACACTTAATGGAGCCAAAAAAGAAATTGGCCAGAACATCCTTGTTTGTGAAAAGTGCCTTGGGATTGGCGACAACAATTCAAACCCAGAGGCTTGGTCCTGCATCACCAGCAAGAGGTAGGAGGGTCTTAGGGAGGGATGCTGTGATCAGAGCCTAAAGCAGGGGTCACCAACCTTTTTGAAACTGAGAGCTACTTCACGGGTACTGAGCCATACGAAGGGCTACCAGTTCGAAACACCCTCCTAAACTTATCTAAACTTCATGTATAATAAACATGTTTTAAATGCTTTTTTTAAGGTATTGTCATTTTCAAATCTATATAAATGCAAATGTGATTAAAGAAGAATAGCAACAGGATAAAATTAAATTTTAGACGCTGCTCACTGGTGAGTTGTGCTATTTTTAGAACAGGTCCGCGGGAGACTCTTATGGCCCTTGGGGGCATCCTGGTGCCTGCGGGCACCATGTTGGTGACCCCTGGCCTAAAATAACAGAGAACCCCCTGCTGGTCATCAGGATTATCTGAAGGTGTCCTTATTTGGAATGGAACTAGCCAAAGACAGTTTGGCTTCCACGGTTTACTGCTATTAGACAGCTTCAAAATAGGTGTGTGTTTATTTTCCATTTTAACTGTTTGTATGATGCCTACATTATGTATGTTGTCGAAGTTTTTTCCCCCACTGTGGTTGTTTGCCCGGTGTGAACTAAACTTCACAGGGAGCTAAACAGCTAAACAACAGATCCTGAGCTGTTAAGTAAAAAGGGAGAAGTTCAACAATGAAAAAAACAGGCATAAATATTTTAGATCTTCAACAATCACATATACATATATATATATACATATATATATATACATATATATATAT